CTTCAACTCCCAGAATTCCCCAGCCAGCATTCGCTGGCTGGGGAATTCTGGGAGTTGAAGTCCGGACATCTTCAAGTTGCCAAGGTTGAAAAACAATGTTCTAGTGAGTGTTATTTGGGTTGCAATATCAGTACTGCCACCTGCTGGCCCATTGTAGCGGCAGCTCCACAAGAGTCGCTTTTGAGTTCCAACTCTTGAATGCCTTCTGTCCAAAATCTGGCACGGCTGCGGTAACAGCTGTTGAATCCAAAGGCAGGAGCCTTTGAGGGTCATCCTTAGAAGCAAAAAGCAGCAGGGTAGCCAAGTGCAGAAACAGCAGGAAGGGAAAAGTTCCTTCCTAATTTTAAAAAAACAAGGCGTGATAAGGTCAGGCAACAGACCTGTCATTATTATGTTTTCCTGCTGTGGCCGGGACAGCAGGCAATAATTCATGGAAGTAAATGGAATAAGCCATGAAAGAGAAAGCGATGCATCTCCCAGGTTTCAGCCTGCAAGGGTAGAATTATACAGACATCGACATGCAAAGCTAGTGGTTGTAAACAACAGGAGTGGAGACAATCGGCATCTGCACAAGGATAATTGTTTGGCTCAGCAGAAAAAGGTCACGGAGAAAGAGACTTTGAAAGAAGGAGGGTAGGATCTCAACGAACAAGCGCAAGTTATATTTCACCCATAACTTGCCCTGCTTGAACATCATTGCTGGGTTTAATTGCATTGTGTTTCTGACAAAGAATAATGCAAGCTTTAATGAATACAGTGAAATTGCAAAACACAAATATGTTTGCCCAGGCAGCCAAAAAATCAAAACAAAACCTGTGATAGTTGCCATCCAACTTTTATAAGCACATATGAATGTCGCCCTGATAGGTGGAGGCTTAGGTTACCTATAGATGTTCTCAGTTTTCCCTCAGTTATGTAACTGAACTTTTGAAAAGTCATATTCCTATAAATGTTCTGTTGGGTTTAAACAGTGGTGGGTTTCAAAAAAAAATTTGAACCTCTTCTGTAGGTGTGGTGTGCTTTGTGGGAGTGGCTTGCTGGCCATGTGACTGAGTGGGAGTGGCTTGGCAGTCATGTGACTGGGTGGGCATGGCCNGATGGAAGGCTGAGTCAACCTTGAGCCGGTGAGATTTGAACAGCCGAACGGCAGAACTGCAGTCAGCTGAAGTAGCCTGCAGTGCTGCATTTAACCACTGCGCCATTTCTGGGTGAAATGAGGACCCAGACTGTGGGGACGATATGCTGACTCTGTAAACCGTTTAGAGAGGGCTGAAAGCCCTATGAAGCGGTATATAAGTCTAACTGCTATTGCTATGTGTTATACTGTGTATGGCGAAGAGATCGCCAAGATGGTTTCACCATGTCCAACGTTTTCTTTCTTTTTTTTAACAATAAAAGTTTTTTTTTAAAAACCTGTCATTTCATAACCTGTTGTAAATAAGAACTTAGAAAGAAAACAGCTGGCCCTGGGGAAGCGCATGAATTGTTTGCAAGCCAAGTAGTCCTCAACTAACAACCATAACTGGGACTGGAACTTCCATTGCTAACAGGATGGTGGCTAAGTGAATTGCATCCAATTTTACGACTTTTGCCACGATTTTTAAGTGAATCAGCAGTCAAGTCATTAGGCAAATCCAACTTCCCTAACTGACTGCTTGTTGGAAGCTGCTGGGAAGTTTGCAAATGATGATCACATTATACTGGGATGTGGCAGCTATCATAGATCTATACTGGTTGTTAAGGACCTGAAATTTCGACTAAAGAGATGTCACAACTGTTGTAAGTGCAAGGATCAGTCATGAGTTGCTGTTTTCGACAGCATCGTAGCTGAACAAACAGCTATGGATTACCTGTATTGGTTTCAATAGCTGGGGGGGAAAGCTATTTGTACTGTATCCTTTACGAGAGATATAAACGAGACTGGAAAAAATGGATTGACTATATTAAAAAAAAATACGGGTCTAGGAAATTTCAGATAACTTATGATTAAGATCAGGAATGATACAAATTGTTTAAGCCTAACGAGGAGCTTAGCTCGATTTAAAGACATTATTAATTCTCTCTCTCTTTAAGTATATTTTAAACTGTTTTTGTTAAAGATTTATACCTTGTATTGGTTCTGGGAAGTCAGGGGGGGGGANGGATTGGGCGGCCTATAAATTTAATAAACAGTTAAACAGTTAAACAGTTAAACCTCTTGGGATTACCAGTGGTAGATTAAGATCTACCCCTGAGAACAGGTAACCTTTGTTTGTAGAAAAATAACATTTTGGGAGAGTAGATGTTACTCACAATGCTTTCTTTCAACAAAGTCTTTTTTTTTAATCTACATGGAGACAGATGTGATAATGGGAGAGTTCATCTAAAGTGATGGAGTTGAAGAGACACAGGTTTTTCTACTTCTATCAAAATTAGGTCTTTGCCAAATTGTATCAGTAATGATGCCTTTTTTGGGGGGGGGGAATGGACCCGTTTTCCTGAAAAATTGGGCATTTTGGGGAGGTTTGCAGAGTGCAAAAACTTTTAAAAATTTTCCTCTTCAAAACCTTGCTGCGTCTTATACTCCGAAAAATACGGTATGTATGTCAGATTTCTTCTTTTTATTAAGACTGCTGTATAATATATCTTTTTTTAATCTTTTTAATTTTCTGTAGCAATGGTGGAAAGTGGCCCTCAGCTAAACATGGTTGGCCTTTTCCAAAAAATTATTGCCAAAGAAGGATTCTTTGGACTATACAGAGGCATCGCCCCAAACTTCATGAAGGTCCTTCCTGCTGTCAGCATCAGTTACGTGGTGTATGAAAAGATGAAGGAAAACTTGGGAATAGCATAAAAGAAAGAGACGCCACATGAGAGACTCAAGGATGGAATCCTCTTGGAGGCTAAATTCATGTTTACAATGAGCTACAATTCCTCTATGCAAAAATTCTGCAAGTCTTAACTTTATGAAGTCTTGGTGGAATAAAAACGAATGTGTTTTCTGAATATCGCTAGGTAATGAGAAAATTGTCAAGAAATATTTCATTGCTCATGTAGCTGCTTGTTGGAAAAGTTTGAGGATGTCATAATTATTTTCCCAACATATATATTATTGCGTTAAAGCTATACAAACACTCTGTAATGATAATTTGCATTTGATTGTCTGGTGGGCAATTTTATGATCATTCTGAAAACTCACTATTATTTTGCAGGTATCTCTTGTTCATAATTCTTTTCTTTTTTGTTAAGCTTCTTTTATAAACGAAAAATGATTCAGAAAGTCATAAAATGTAGCATTGATACATTTATTTGTTCAATTCCCCTTATAACAAATGAACAGAAAGCGCTTGAAATGAAACGAATGTATTTGCACATTGATTAGTCATATATATATAGAACATGCCTATGTGGGATCTGTTTTTCCAAACATTAATCTTGGAAAATTGATGAGGATAGGGACCAATCCAGACACATGGAACTGACATATTAATCGAAGTGAAAGTTACTGCTATTTACAAAAGATTAATAACTGATACAGTTTGCGTGCTTGTTCAACCTTCTCTTCCTGATTTATATGAATGGAAGTAATCAAGACACATGTTTAACTTAGCAAGTATTACTATCCTTAAAACAATTATCTAATTTGTTAAAAAGTTTCTTAAATGTCTTCTTTTTGTATCCTCCCATCTTCCACAGTTGCTGATCAAATCCCATGCTTTTCAGTGCTGATGAGTTCCTTAGCTGGATTTGTTTTCTCTTCCGAGACAGAAAATTCTTGTGTTTTCTTTTATTACCCAAAGGAAGGGAAAAAAAGAATATTCTTACATTTTCCTTCTCATTTAAATTCCTTTCTCTCAATAACACTTGAACCATCTTTTCCTCTCTGCAGTGATACTTAATCCAGGTTTCAATCTTAATCCAGGTCTGTTAAAATTCAGTGGTCTCCAACCTTGGCAACTTTAAGACTTGTGGACTTCAACTCCCAGAGTTCCTCAGCCAGCAAAGCTGAGGAACTCTGGGAGTTGAAGTCCACAGGTCTTAAAGTTGCCAAGGTTGGAGACCACTGTGCTAAAGTAGAGTTGATGTTTTCTAAAACAATACGGGCTCTTGAATTCCCCTGAGAGAGATTTGGGGTTCACAACAATAATGTAGGATGTTCTGCATCATCGTTTCACCTTTTCTGCACCCACAAATTACCATCTCTCGTTAAAGGACATGTTAGAGGTAGGTTTTGCACACAAAAAAATAAAATAAAACCTCCTTCAGAGAGACAGGATCTTGAGAATATTAAGCCCACATCAATTCAGCACATAGCTGCTGTCCCTGTTAACTTTCTCCTATTTCCTGCCAGACGTTCAGACAATAAAGGAATTTATACAGCTGGATGTGTTCGAAATGAAAGCCAAAAAAGCAGGGTAAGGACTTTCAACGGCAACACAGACTTCAGGCATCTTGGCACATCTTGCGATTCAAAAAATCAAACATAAATGGATTTCAATTAGCATATTGTGTAATAGGCTGTTTTTTTTTAAACCCAGGAATCTTAAAAGAGTCGTCTCCAGGTTTGGGAAAACGGCTTTATTAGCGTGTTGGGGGGGGGACATAAAAAAGAAAACCTGGAAGGTTTGCAGGATTTATTATTTATTTATTTATTTATTTATTTATTTATTTATTTATTT